AAAAAAAAAAAAAAAAAAAAAAAAAAAAAAAAAAAAAAAAAAAAGTTAGGAATAAAGTATCTAAAGTCCCCATAGATCCCTTCTACGCTTGGAAGTACATTTGGATTAAAGTTCCAAAATAGAAAGTAATTGGGCCTCCTGTAACCTCACACACACGGCGTGAACGCCGTGGCCGTGGTACCACTCCGTTCGAGTGGTCGTCCAGCTGAAGCACGATGTATTCGTGGGATCCGAACGAACTGTCTCCATTATTCGCGAATGTGTGAAGATGAGAAGAGCGATGTCGTGTCTTTTAAACTTAATTCGAAACAATAAATGATATTGGGACATCTCGCACAGGCGACATAATCATTGACTGCACGGTTGGCGCTGTAGCTGGGCAACCGGCTGCAACCGCGCAACGTACAGCGGGTTCGAGTCCCGCCACGTGCAGAAGGTTCGATTCCCGTAACGTACAGAGGGTTCGATTCCCGCACGAAGGAACTCTTTGTGTAATCCACACATTGTTGTTTCTGGTCTGAATTTGAACTTGTATATTTGACACAGGAGAAAATCCTAGTGTAAACAGGACAACGTGTTGAAAAAGAAAGTGAAAGAAAAAGAAAGAATTGAGAAAGTCACATGTTGTGCATTATAAATGAATGGGTAATATTTTACGGTAGGACAGTAACAACTATACTGTGGTGTATTTGTGAAGTATACCCCTTACGTCATGTGCTCTGAGAACCTGTGACTCATCGAGTAGGTTACTGGTAGGTAGGTTTAGATTTCAATTACTTAAGCTTAAACTTTATTTTAGAGACGCAACACTCAACTTGTGTCATACACTTTCAGTACCTGCCTACTTTAAATTATTAAATCTATCGAGAAATGTGAACATTACTGAATACATGGTACAAATCGATGTAATCGAACAGCTGGGAGCTTATGAGTATCGTTTATGAATCATGTTTATTTCCAACAAGCTGACTGATTCACCGCGTATATATTTGTATCGATGCAACTAGCAAGGACCACTCGTTGCAGTTCAGGTACAATTACATACTGTACGCGAACTTACTTATGTAGGCAGATATAGCGAGGTAGTTACTGGTGACCGGGTGTGGAAGTACTTGTATAACGATACAAGTAGGTGGACCTACTGTGAAGTGGAAGTACTGTCGGCGCTGGGCCGCTGGCGCCTCACATCCATCCGACAAAAGATCACATATGTAATTCAGTCCCTGTGCTTACTACCTAACGGTCTAACGGGAGGCACTTATAGGTCAAGAACCGCTCTGATAGTCTTTTACTATGACTACGAAAGTGCGAAGTGACTCAAGAAATAATACCGACTTTGGAATATTATGCAATATTGTTCCTTATTGATAAATTGTCCTAGGTATATACCAGCAAGATAATATAAGATTAGCAATTGCTAATCTTCCAGCGCTATATTTAGAGGACCTGGGGCCTTGTTAATAGTGTACCGCATTCTTATTATTTGTCCCCAAAGAGCTAGACGCGGTATGAAAGTTTCTCCGTCCACTCTAAAAAGGTATTTGCTCACCTAGAACAATTATAAACAGAGTGAATCAGCCGCTAAGTGCTAAAAGGTATAGACGTAAGTAACATACATATGACGTAAGTAGAGGTATATGTATGTTACACAGTTCACAGCTCAGTAACCGCTGGGTGCAGTAA